TTCCACTTTATATCAGCATATACAGCATTTCATCTGTATAGAAATTCTGTTGGATTTCATGGATGACAAACATAAACTTATAATAATTTATTAAATAAATAATAACCTACTTAGCCTGACAATGAGCCATTTCCACAGTGTGCACTATCACAACGTGCCACTAGATGGTAGAACAGGATTCTGTCTGCACAGTTCTGCAGTCAGGCAGCCCTCCCTGATACAACCTTCCAGGAAGCAACTAGATTAATTCTGTCTGAAGATTCCTAAAACTACAATGTAATTTAGAGTTTTTATTCCAAGTGCATACACCATACTCTTTGTCTTTTACAATTGTTATGTTCCAGAACTCCGAATTCAGTGGTGACTTCCCAAGGTGTATTTACAGAACAAGGCACATACCAGCACGCTGTATGTATGTTCCACAGGTGGCTAGTTAACACCTGAAAAGTGAGAAGCTATGAAAATGAAGCCACAAGATTCGTTTGTAGACTGTGATCCCCTGTGGAAATCACACTGCCTGGGAGGCAAGAGCAACTATAAGAAACTTCTGCTCTGAAGCATCCTCCAGAGGAGCTGCCTACCACCTCTCCGGGAAGCACTGTCTTCCCTCTTCCCTTTGGAAATGTACACAGAAATAAGGGGAACAGGAGACATGAGTGCCTGCCCTTCAGTCACTTCCACAGGGATAAAGGAGAATAGTGGGAATTTTTATACATGGAGCAGTGGAAAATTAAAATTCAAGGCAGCAAGTGTACTAATAAGCAACTTCATAGTTGAGAAGTAACTAAGCTGCTATGAGTAAATGAAATGAAGGCAATGTCAAACACCTAGGATTTATTATAAAAATCTGGATACAGTGCCTAAGAAAATCTCATTTGTATTGGCCACAGAACTTAAAACCTGCTTGGATATGATAGATGAATGACACATGCAGTGAAATATGTCTCAAGGACTTTTAGCAAAGTTAAAACAGTGATTTCCAAAGTCTTGGAGAAAAAGCATAGGGGTGCACAGAAATCAGGGGAAAGGAGCAGTGTAACTTATCGGTGTTATTAGAGAGCCTAAAGATAAATGAAAAATAGATATAATAATAGGTGTAAAGAAGAAAGAGCAGAGTGCACAAGCAAATAAAATGATGCCAAGACCCTACAAAACAGGCATCACAAATTGGACAGAAAATTGCAGCTTGTTATGTCACAAGAAACCACCTGTAAACAGTTATTTAGCAGGTGAGATTTGCTTAACATGGGGTGAAGCAAAGCACTTTCCCACCTGGAGTTTCCAGAGGTACAGCACACCTGCTGATCAGACAGTACTGTGGACAGAACAGTCTCGTGGAACGATGTCTGCCCTGCCAGATAAGTATTAACTTCATCATCCACTTTTGTTTTATCTATAAACACAGAGCTCAGGACTTCCCTGAATTCATACTTATTTGGACTGTGTAGGGGTTTGGATAGGAAAAGAGCATAATGAATCATCAAGAGTTTTTTCCACTGCTATCACAAGCAACAATATTGCAAATATCCTGAACTCCCTCTTGAAACAACTTCCAGCCTTTGTTTCCTGTTGGAAGACATTTCCAGAATCTCATACTTACACTTTATGTTCAGCATAAATTATATTCTTTGATTATATGCAGTGATCCCTGGGGTAAAACCTTTTTTTAGCATAAATCTCTGCCTTCCCTATGTCTACTCCCTTGTGTACTCCAAGCTAGTAGTAATACCTTCCTTTCGCTAAGCTAAACATCCAGGTTCTTTCAGTATAAGAATAGGAGCTCTCCATGACCCTCAGTCATCCAGGTAGTTTGAATTAATCTTCCACAAGCATTAGGAAATCCTCCAGAGGAAGCTCACTTGCTCCTCGCATAGGGGCACAAGTGCTTTGCTGTTTCTGCTGGAGACATGTCTCCCTGGGCAGCCTGAATCCTACTTGGTCTCTCCCACAGCTTGTTCAGACGTAATGAGAGTAGTTATACAAACCCCACATGTTCATCCTCCTCTTTATTTTCTAATGAATGGGATTTGGTATGCTAAGAAGTTATTTTTTCACTAATAATACTGATTTTCAGTTTAAAAGTTATCAGTTACCTCATTTCTAATTAAATCAGTGGTTTACATCAATTTCCATATCCTTCCAGAGTCATCAAGTATCAGGTCAAATACCATACAAAACCTATATGTTAGTTACAAATATTATCAGCCTATTCTTTTGATCATCACTTCTTAAGCTTTGGCTAATCAGCAAAAACTAACTCCCAAATGACCATGCGCTTGACATTAAATATCTTGTTTTAATTTAATTCTCATTAAGAAGGTTCTGCATCAGTCACCTCACCTTTTTTTTTTTAGGAATACTGATAAATGGATAGGCCTATATTGTCCGAACATCAGACATCTGAATCTTGACCAGTGTTTCAAAGCAATCATTGTTCATATTAAGAGAGCTCCTTTATCAACCCTGTCCCGACTAAGGTTGCTGGGTATTGACAACTGACAGAAAAGCTTTAGCAGATGTGACTCAAGACTCCCCTGAGCCCTGCTGGAGTGAGAAGGATTTATTACACAATTAGCATATTAATAATTTCCTGCCTTTTCCTAAACCCCAAATACAATATTGGCTATTCTTGCTTTTTTTTTTTTTTTTTTTTTTTAAAGAAGTTTATTTTCATCATTTCTCTCCATTCACTTTGGTATAAATCTCTTCCTCCCATGTTTCAAAAAGGCATTGGTGTTGTCCTCAAGGCTATAGACCATATACTGGTCCCTTGGTCCTTTGACTTTTCTGCAGTAAGCTGCCACCTAATTTATATTCATTATTACCAACTCCTTCTTTGTCCCATTTGTTATACAATTTTCATACCTCTGTCACTTTCTCTATAAGCTGAACTGATTTTCCAAGCAAAATAATCCTCTTTTTCTGTTGCAGGCTTTTTCAGTGTTCTTAAACAGTACACAGTATACTTGCTTATATTCTTTCTTGCAGAGATTTGTTTCAGAATTTGTTTCAGCTTATAAAATTAGCCTTGTAGAAGTACTATCTATGTTTAATGTGTTTGATATAATTTTGGAATGCAATCCACTAGCAAAACTGTTCCAAAAGACTTTTAACTCCCAGGGAGAGGTAAGTTATATGGAGTGAAAAATTAAGAGCCTTTTCCAATTTTGAATTAATGAGCCCACAGCTAGAACGTTGTATATAGTTCAGAGTACATCCATTCCAGGCATGACACCTGAAAAGACTTGGAGGAGAAAAAACATCAATCAGGGCTGAGTGCATGTTTGAAGTGTGTTTTAAATAATGAAATGCTTTTAACTGACTGACAAATGGCAAAGGAGAAGAATCAAACAAATGCCTATACGTATTTTTACAGAGATACATCACTTATAGCATTTAAGTAGAAGACAGGAAAGAAGGAACACAGAGAAAAAATTACTGGGATAGATTGGATGAGGGGCAGGGAGTTACTGAATCCATCTAGACTGAACCATGACTTTGTATGCCACTGATATGGCATACATGGAAAGGTTTTTCTTGGGCATGGAGGATGTAGGCATGATGAGCAAATAAATATTCCATCATTTATCTTGGTCTGTCCCTTGCTTATATTCCTGTTTTGCTCCTTTAAGGAACTGCCTATTCAGGCAGCTAGGCTAATCAAGGTGCCTTGAACCATCAGCACTACATGTCTGGGTCATGATGGGGGGCTTGTGTGATTCATGTATGGAGAGTAGGGAGCATAGATAGTGTCCCATAGGGTATGTTTTCCTGGACTGGACATTGCTCATTTAATTCTGTGACAGGGCCCTACAAGATCAGAGGGCATCTCACCAGCTGCTTTAGAAACGCCACCATGAAACACAGGGAAAAAACTGTCAGTTCAACAGACTCCCCCACTGGACTTTGATCCTACAAGACCTGCACAGCCTAAACTAAAGCATATTTTAGTTCTCCCACCATTGTGATATCCACATAAAAAAGAGATCCTAGGGATCTTGCACAGCTCTGCTGTGGTCTTGTTCCCTGATCTGCACACACTGCTCAACTCCATTGCATTTAGAGGGATTAGAGCCTACTGTTCTCCCCTTGCAATATCAGTTAATGATGCATCACAGAACCATAGAATAGCAGAATGGTTTGGGCTGGAAGGGACCTTAAAGCTCATCTAGTTCCATGCTTGGGAGGGAGGGCAGGGAGCCATAGTCTCTCCTTGGAACTAGGTTATCGTATGCCTTTTGCTTTCCAAACCAGTGCACCACTTCCTCACTTAATGTTGATAATCTTTTCTTCCCCTGATGCCAAGTCACTCACTCTTAGTTTAAAGCTCTCCTCAACAGATGGGTCAGGGAGGAAATTCCTCGAACTGGCCAAAGTTGTTCCTTACTGTGACAGCTCCTGTGCTGTATTTCATGTACTCCGTGGGAGCAGCACGCAAGCCACACAGCTGACCTGGGCTGGGCTGGGCTGGGCTGGGCGGGGCTCGGCTGGGCTGGGCGGGGCTCGGCTGGGCTGGGCGGGGCTCGGCTGGGCTGGGCTGGGCTGGGCTGGGCTGGGCCGGGCTGGGCTGGGCTGGGCTGGGCCGGGCTGGGCTGGGCTGGGCTGGGCTGGGCTGGGCTGGGCTGGGCTCGGCTGGGCTGGGCTGGGCGGGGCTCGGCTGGGCTGGGCTGGGCTGGGCTGGGCTCGGCTGGGCCGGGCGGGGCTGGGCTGGGCCGGGCGGGGCTGGGCTGGGCTGGGCGGGGCTCGGCTGGGCTGGGCTGGGCTGGGCCGGGCGGGGCTGTGCTGGGCTCCCGCCGGGACCCGCCTCTCCCGGCCTTCAGCTGGGACTGATGAGCGCAGTGTGAGCTAACGGGGTGGGGCCGGTCCCTCGTGAGGTAACGGGCGTGCCAGGGTGGAGCCCCGGGGCTGGCCTACAGAGAGGTGCCTGCACGGAGCCGAGCTGTGTGTGGTGATCCTCGTTCCAGGCCCAGTCGCTGGCGGTTGTTCTTGTGTGGCCCAGAATGGCCGGTGTGAGGCTGGACTTTGGCTTGCTTTTGAAGCCCCTGTGCTTCATTAAGGTCCGTGAGTGGGGCTGGGGATGCGTAAGGGGAAGCCCTGCTCTTCTCATAGGGTTGGTTCTTCTCCTTCCCCAGGCCTGGCTTTGCTCCTGTGTCTTAGCTGAATAGGTCTGAGGAGGTGTGTGCCTCATGGTGGTGGTGGATGCTATCATGAGGCTGCTGTTCAGCCAAGCATGCTGGTTGTAGGGAAGAAAACAGTTATCTGGATATATTGAAATGTCTATGCTAATTATAAGTTTGTCATAGTAAGTTGTCCTGCTGTGTGATGTGTGTTCTGATTGCTGGGGGTTTAGGGTATTGCTAGTAAACAAAAGGGAAAGAAGACCTACTTAGTCATGCTGGAGTGCATTATCTTTAGTGTGTACTTTTTAGCTGCCCTAATCTACAGCTGTAGGTGTCTGGGACTCCTAAAAATGTCTGGACTTCCCTTACCAACCTCAAGAGGTACTGTGCTGGCTCTTCTCTTCGAGGAATTTTGCTGTGGAGTTAAGAAAAACTAACAAGAAGCTCTTAAATGCACTTTTTTTTCTTAGTGGTGTTGCTCACGTTGAGCTTCTAGAATCCAAAATGTTTACATTATCTCTTGACATCACTTCATACTTTAGGTTTCCAGACTTTCTTCCCATTTCTTGGTTTCATTATCCATGTCAGCTAGATGTTGGGTTTATTTCCTTGGAGATCCAGTGGTGTGCATTAGTGTGTCTCTGTACCAATTCCTATAGCTTTTTGCCATCTTTGCTCTTGCCACATGTGGAGGCTTTCAAGATGGAACTACTCTTCTAGTTTCCTGTTAAGGCATGGTAAACAAAACAGTTACAGCTGCTTTTGCTTATCCTTTCAGGTAAATATTAGCTCTTCAGTTGCCACTTATATGCTAATTATCAATTTCTCATTTCTTTCCCATCTTTTGTCAATGCCCTATGGAACTAGATAGAAATAGCAATAGACTGTTTCACTCTACATTAAGCTCTATTCTACTAACGCATGAATGCAAAAGAAGATCAACTAGTAAGAAAAACCATACAATTAATTTTAACAGCCTATTTCTTCATCAGTTTGTAGCTGCTTTGGAGGCCCAGATTAAATTAGATTCAGAAGTATATATTTTGGTCACAAAACCAAGCACCATAATAATGCTTGGAGGGGAAAGTGGGAATGTGAAATGGTTCTGTGCTAGTCACTGCTAGTCACACAGGTTTATTGAATATTGTGTTTGTATGGTCTTGAAGTTGTAATGCAACCCAGTCCCTTTTATGTCCTTCTCCCCTTCTTTAACTGCCAGTCTCTAAAATAGTGTTATGTCTCCTTCCACATCAGGATTTCCTTCTTCAGTTATCTAAAGTTTAGATTCTTCACTAAAAGTCGCCATTGCATATCTCAGTGTAAGATAGGGAACAGTCATCGGATATCTTGGCAAGTCTCCGTGCTGTATAATTGATGTATTATGCAAACATAAATTTTCTTTTAGAGAGAACTTACACAACTAGAATGCTGAAACACTGTTACTGTGAATCATGTCTCTGTAAAGTTTCCACTGTATAGCAAACACTAATTACATGAAGGATATAATCTTTGCAAGTTGAATACTGTTGTATTTAGTGCACCCGACCCAAATTTCTGTGGTGGTACTTGAACTGATGTTTATCTTGAAGGCTACTTCTCCTCTTCTGCACAGTTCTCCATTACTACACCTGCAGTGTTGGTGTTCCTCTACAGCATTGCAGCTCTTGTGGTATATATTGGATATAAGCATGTGTATGACCAAAACAGGAGGTTTCCCCAAACTGTAAGTAGCACTAAAATATTTTAATGCTTGCCTGTGAAACTACAAGGAGATCAGAAATACTGCTGATACAAGAATACCTGAATAACTTATGAATATTCATTAGTTCCAGAAGTTAGATGGGTCATGAACAGAGTATCTCAGACCAGCTACTCCAGCAGTCAAGCAGAAAAGGGGATCCAAAGATCTTCAACATCAGTGGTATTGTACCTTATGTGGTTATTGAAGCAGAGTAGAATGAAGTTCCACCTTCTCAAGTGAACAGCGTCTTCACCACAACTTTTACTTTGTTTCATGTATTCAAATATGCAATTCTTCCATAGCTGGAATCTCTCTTAGTCTCTGAGAATTTTCCCTGTGCAGAGCACCTGCTGTGTGCATGCTACTGGCAGAGGGAAATAGTTATCTTGTGAATTTTGGTCAGTTTACTCATATGGACTTAAAATTTTTCAGCACAAGTGCTACACATCTGATTTTAGAAATTATTTTTTTACAAAGGTTAAAATTGCTTATGCTTGATAGATGCAGAGGCATACAGTTTTGTAGCTGATTAGTACAGAATATAACTCGTGTTGTAATTACAACACTGTTAATAGCTGAATGTTTGATCATTCGCACTGATGCAGTTATTTTGGTGATTTAATTGATGCTGTCTCTGCCTTGGTCTCTTATGTATGTTCATGAATATTTTTTAACTTACTAATGAGTGCTTCTCTTTTGTAGGACTTGGTTATCCCTGTCATAACAACCTTTTTATGGCTAGTCAGTACTTTTACTTGGGCAAAGGTGCTTCCTGATGTCAAAATGTACACAGGGGCCAGCATTATTCTAGGAATTGAATCTTGCAAAACACCAGGAACAACTTGTCATTTTGCTGCTGTGACCAGCATGGGAGCTCTGAATATGTCTGTAGTATATATGCCTTCTGCCACATGGATACAATAAATGTGTTTAGAAAAAAGCTAATGGCACCTGAGAGCTCTGTTCTATTATTGCATGTGTTGCTTCATGTTAAAATTGCTTTATGTGTTATCAGTCGTTCAGGCTCTTTAGAACTGGTAACATACCAATTTTTTCCTTTTGAAGGAAACTTGTTTCTCTTAATTTCTTTGAGGGAATAACTTGTAGGATTTGCCTCTAGAGCTGTTAAATGTGTCTGGAAATGCTGTATCTGAGTATAATTTTTTGTGTAGCCAAAAGAACCTTAAAATATGATATTGCACCATACAAGTGGTGGCTTGGCTGATGCAAGTAAATTGGAAACGCTATGCCTCCTGTTCTGTCTTTTGGTGCTGAACCTAGGTCTTTAATCAACTGTGCATTTTTACATATTAAGTAGAGGTTCTTTGTAATATAAAGATATAAAGCTCATGTTCATAGAAAGAACTCTTCACAGGTCTTCACAGTAGGGCAAATGAGTTTTATTGTATGATCTTCTCAGTGAATCCTGCTTTTCAAGACTCTGGCTGTTATTCATTGGCCCACTAATAATTAATTGTGTGTTCTCAAGGTTATGAGTAACTGGAAAGAATTTATCTAATTCCATGAAAAGGATAAAGTAAATAGAAATATCTGATTTCTAAAAGTCTGTTAAAATAGCTTGTAATACTCTAAAGCATGAGGAAATATCCATGTCAAAGGGCTGCCAAAGATAGCGGTTGTTTCTGGTTTGTCGTGAAGCTATATTCTAGGGTTTTGTTGGGAGGGGGGTTGTTTGTTTTTATTAAAAATCTTGTCACCTTTTTTCTAACCTACAGGTATTTGGCTTGATTAATATGATTTTAAGGGAAGGAAATACTTGATTTCTATTCAAGGACACCAACCTGTGCAACCAGCCAAACAGAATTTCTCAAAGTCCAGCAATACCTCAAATTCAAAGAGGAGCGTAAAAACAAGGTGATACTTTGAAGTGCTTCCAGGTTTACATCATACTGCCAAAGCATGGAGCCATTAGGATTTACGTCAAGAATAACTAATGATATTTTGTAAAAACTTGTTTTGCACTATGGTTTGACTTAAGGTCTCAGATACTCGAAGTGTTATCTTGAAATATATTATACCTTTCAGTGTTGTGCAGCCTTTTATTGCAGTTTTTGAAGAGCAAAAAAATTGAGGTTATCTGGATGCTGGCCCTTTCAGATTCTTAAATTAGCCATGTAGGAGGGATGGGTGAGAAACAAGTGCGTTTGGGTTATTAATGCAACTTCTTTAGTTCTAACAAGCCTTAGGTGAAAAATGAAATGTAATTGCAACTAGGGCATGTGAAAATGCAGTTCAAGTTCTTCCTATTGCTGATAGATGACAAAAGCTGTCCGAGTAGAACTTGTAGCTCTGTCAGAGTTGCAACCACCTCATGTAGATTTTCAGATATTCCATTCAGGTTACTGTGTCAAATCTGACAGAACTATCTGTAAGAACATTACTTCTGTGTTTAATATGCCATTACTATTTAATGGCTCAGGACAGTCTGAACAAGAAATCTTAGAGTTTCACTATAAAATCATTTAACAAAGATTGCATATATGTGTGCAATAGGTAACTTAGACTCTTACTGATACTGTAGAAATCAAAGCTAATATATTCCAACTGGTAGTGGCTGGGCTCTGAATTCTTTTTGAGGTGCATGAGCAATGCTTGTGTGTGAAAGGACATAACTGAAGATACATGAATATGACTAAGTTGTCAGTGATGTTATTCAGCTTATTCCTTGGGAGCAATATTTGGTACTTCTCATGTGGACTTCTTTATTATAGTATATGACCCTGTGAATTGCCCAGAAAAATGTGTGTTTTGACAAATCTAATAAATGAGCTGTTCAGTTTCTTGATTTGTTTAAACTGTTTGTGATTAAAACAGACATAGTGTGTGTGTATATATAATGCAAATCCTGATTGTTTTGTGTCCCCAAGCTACTGATTGCCTGATAGTAAACTTCCAGTCCAAAGGCTGTCAGAAAATAAGTATGACTTGCTGAAAGAATACACTTTGTGTCCTTCCTGCTGTAAGAGTGATGTAAATGTATTGGCTTTGTAGTTTCTGGGGTGTGGCTTTAGCTATTGGCGACCTTGCTAGCTGAATGAGTTATCTGTGCTGCAGAAGGGCTTTTTACACAGATACCTTGGGTTTGTTGTAGACGAGACAATCTGTCATTCCTGCAGAATAAAGCTGCCTCGTGCTGCCCAGCAGTTCTTTCTGTCAGCCCAAAGTGGGGGCTTTTAGTAGTTATAACTGCCTACAATTTCATTTGAATCTCTCAGAAGTGCAATGTTCAGTTGCTCTTTCCTAAAACCATGTTCTTTCTTCTGCATTCCTGGATAAGAGATTTGAAAGCAATGAGCTTCTGTTATTTGTGTTACTGTCTCAATAAGACAGACTTGTGGTTATTCAAGTACCATGTATTGTCCCACCTTAAAGGCTTCTTGAGGGAAGATAAGAGAAAAGCAGTGTACTCTGTTCCTACTCTTGCCTCAAAAGTATGGCACTCAAAATCATAACATGGACTTCTTGGGATCTTTCATCTGTCCTGGGCCTACTGCAACCCAAGAGGCAATTCTTAACAGAAGACTGGGTCATAGGATTTAGGAAGAACAATATCATTCTTGTTTTTACAAGCAAGATATGAAAGTAGGTACTTCTATTATGGGTTTATTTGGAGAACCTTTTTGATAGCAAAACTAAGCTAAGAGCTAAAGGGCTGCTGAAACTGCCAAATGGTTTTGACAGTGAAGTGGGGTTTTTCCTTTAGCTTTGTACCTGAAGGGCTTTAAGTAGATCAGTGATTGGCCCTGCTTTCTCCACATCCTTGCTTGTGTAGATGTTACATGCAAGTGGGCCAGGGCATGTGCATTCTTCTAGTAGTCCCATGCTGTTTGCACTTCCTTTACTATCAGAATATTGATTATGGCTGGGTAGTCTTCAGTCATTTTGGTGGCCTGAACTGGGTCTTGAAGCTTCACTGGAAATATCAGTGATTAGAAAAATGAGTGTGATCTCTGCTACCAGCCCAACAGAACTGAATTGAGCTATAAAAACGTAGCATAACTTTTGTGGAAAGGCTGAATATATAGCGATTACAATGCTTTGGTGTTAACTAAAATAGAATGCAAAGCTTCCATTGGTATTTAGAATACAGAGTCAGTTGATTATAAGGATGTGTTAGGCTGTTCTCCTGCCTCTCAAGAACCCCTGCCAGCAATGACTTCTGTGGTATTCTTTCTGATCTCTTTGCTTGCATCAGTTCCATGTTCCAATTACTGACTTTAAACCTTAAATCCTCATTCCTCCTTGAAGTGAGTTCATTTATTACCTAATGATGCCCTGAACTGTCACAGATGGCTTGTTTTGTAGTGTTATATCTATATCACTATGAATAGCTGGGAGGAAAGGGATGGAGAAGAGTGTGGGATGTGAGGGAGAAGTCAGAAGTATTAGACTTTTTCTATTGCTCTCTTTCTAACAGTGTTATAGACACTTGAGATAAAAAGCTCTATGCTGTTTTATCATGGTGAGCTACGATAGGATTACTCGTTCAAGGTTATGAAGATCAATATTTAGATGTTTGGGTAATTCTATTACTAGATCTTAAATTTCAAAGCTAGACCTGAAGTAAATATTTGTCACCTGGCCAAAGATAGCACTGCTCTGAGCAAGAGGTTGAACCAGTTTTTTTGCAGTGGTCCCTTCTTTATAATGTTTGGGGTTTCATTGTTGGGGTTTTTTTTCTCCCTAACACCTGATGAGCCACTGTTTGCCTTTCCCCCCCCCGTGGTGGTTTTTTTTTTTTTCATCTTTTAGCCAGAGGCTGCCTGTTTGCATCATTGTGTGTGGTTATTTAAAACATGTCTTTCATCCTGAAATCCAAAGCCTCCATGAATTTTCATATTGCCTAAGAAAAAACCCTGCCAATTATAGAATAAGTTTTTTCAGCCTCATAATTCTTTGGATTTAAGTTTACACATGATGTGACTAAAACATAGTTTTATTAACCTTTATTTTTAACAAAACTATGTTCCTGTCTATTTATTAACTGCTTATTTACCAACTGAAGCTCCAGTTCTGCGCTGAACTGACTTTTGTCACAAATAGACCTATTAGAGTGATTGGGGTGGCTTAGTTATAAAATGGTAATTGTGTGTATTTTTGCACACAAGAGAGCAGGAATGGATTAGATCAATATATACCTAATTGATGGTTGAGGTCTAGCCTGCAACTGAAACAGAACTGGGAAATTTAGCATACTGTGATTGATTGTTTCAACAAAAACTTACATTACACGTTCATTCAGAGAGATGTTCGTGTTTTCCATATGGCTAAAACTTTCCTTCACACTTTTTGTAGGTGAAACAGGTGTGTCCCACCCCCAGAGTGCTTTCCTTCAGAAGCCAGGGACAGCAAGTACAGCAGGCAGGGCAGGGCTATACCTGGTAAAATATAGATCAACAAATAGGTGGTTGTGTCTTGTAGAAATTCAAGCTGCATATATGTCTGCTCTACACAGATAAATGTCAACAGCATCCTGGCTCTGCAGGCTGAGGTGAGTGTGACCTGTAGTCCACAGCAAGCAAGATTTTTTAAAAGGAAAAATAACCCCATGTCCACTTCTGGCTCATTACGATTAGGCTTGTTTCCTTCACAAGGGGGAGAGACTGATGCAGAGTACCGTTGGCCTTGATGTCTGATAGCGTCCTGCAGCTGAGATGAAGTGGAAAGCATCATGCAGCAGGAGTAAGCAGCTGCTCTCACTTACCTTGGACACCTGCAAAGGGCTGAACAGCCTTTGCCTTTGAATTGACAACATATTCATACTGGCAGTACTGAAACACTCGGTGTCTTATTTACTCATGAGAGTGGAAAGGAAAAAAAAAAAAGACTCTTTGATTTACCAGCTTTATCTTGAGTGCACAAGAATCACTGTTGCTATCACGAGAAGCAGCATGCTTGATCCCTCTGTACTGAGGGAACAAAGGAACTGGAAATCTGCCAGGTCTCTACAGGTAAGATTTCTTCAGCTGGCAGCAGTCTCTTTTGCAGCCATCAGCAGAGCAAGTTCATAAAAATCCTTTCATTCTGCATTAATCCTGGTAGCAGGCTATAGTGATGGATCTCTAGCAAGTGAAATGAGGTATGATACCTGGTGGGATGCTAGCAAGAGGGATTGTGATCAGAAACTCATGGCAGAAAGAAAGGCTGGATGGTGATAGTGGAGTAATATGAAGCTGAGTGGGATAGCAATAGTGAACTCCACAGCATTATGGGGTGTTTAAGGAACAGATTACTTTGTGGTTTAGGGAGCTGTAACCAGTGATCTGAGGGTCAGGCTCCTGTGACAATGAAATGTACATACTCTGTGTGCCAGCTCCATGAAGAGTCCCTGCCATGGGAGCTGGCGTAGTGGTGGTGGTTGAGAGCTTTGCCATCAACCTGCTGGAAAAACCACGTGAACTCAATCCATGAGCGATCTCATAGTGTCAAACAGCCAGTAACAGCCAGTGCTGAATGGAGTCACTGCGGGATCTATATCACTTTGGCCCCTATGACCCCAGAGACCAAACCAATCTCAAACACAGGCTGGATCTAGAACACTGCAATGCCAACTGACAGGCCAGCAGTATTAGTAGCATTAATTGTACCAGAGCTGAACAGCATTTTGTGACGTACATTAAATTCATCAGAGCTTTGGCTCTGCTTGCACACCTCCTGTTGCTAGCCTTGATGTGAAAAGCTGTAAGATTGCGGCTTCATCACCTGCTTGAGGACACAGTGTAGCTGCAGCCTATTTATTTTATCCTGTCTCCTAGAACTGAGCAGTCCATAAAATGGGAAACTTGGATGTGCTGCACCATGCTGGGTTGGCTGCCCACCATGCTGCAAACTCCTGCGGAGCTGGTTGGGTATCTTGCTTTTGGAAGCTGTTTTAAGACAGTCTCTGGTGCTTCCACAAATGCCTGACTCTCAAGTCATGACTGCACATCAGGCATTCTTCATTATCCTGGATCATCTGCTTCCTAGCAGATTTGCTGTATAGCCTAAAGCAAAGTTGCCAGAGGCCAGGTTTTGCTGCTTAGTC